AAAGCTAGATTTAAAGCTAAAGCTAATGCTAAAGCTAAAGCTAAAGCTAAAACTAGGGGCGCAACAGGGGGAACCGCTCCCAGGGGACTGGGGGAACCGCCCGGGGCGGGTTGCACTGCCCGGCCCCTTTAAGCTACAGAGTAAGAACCCTTCTAGGCAGACCCTAGGTAGGGAATTAAAACATGGTTTTCAACCGTTTTGTTAAACACAGAGCGTTTCGCTCGAGACATTCTCCAAACATTATCTTCTCCTGCGCGCCTCGTCTGAACTCGCGCGGAGAGTAAACTCGACTTGACATGGGGGAATGCGAGTGGTAAGATAGGGGTCTGGAGACGGATAATGCCGAGATGTGCCAGTGGGAGGTGCGCCTCTTTTGAACTCGCGCAGAAAGTAAACTCTACCTGACATGAGGGAACCTGGGCGGGGAGATGGGGTCTGGAGACGGATAATGCCGAGACGCGATCGCATTTTATCGTGATGATGTTGCACGTTTTTGCAAAGTTCGTCGAGTTCACGCGCTTCCCGTTCATGTCAGAGAAAGGTTTGGAAACAAAAAACACGAGCGTTTCGCTTGATACAGCCTCGCCATCTCGTGAAGTTGGGGGTCGTAGCCTAAGGCGCCTTTTGCTAAACAATGGGCATTTCGCCTGAGACATCCTCGGAGCATGGGGATGTTGAAATCGTTGGTCTAATTCGCGGACCTCCAACGATGGGCGTTTCGCCTGAGACATCCTCGAAAAAATGGGATGCGCCGCGAGTTCTTGTAAGGCATCTTTTCGGAGTGATTTCGGATGACCTCCAAGATGGCCCAAGAAGCGAAAACATTGAAAAACCCATGGGTTTTAACATCTGGATTAAAAGCGGAGCGTTTCGCTCGAGACATCCTCTATACATTGCCTTCGGACGGGTCCTCGAAGACATTATTGAAAAAACTCATGGGTTTTCAACGGAGCGTTTCGCTCGAGACATCCTCCAAACATTGCTTTCTCCTCCTTCTCCTCCTCCTCCACCTCCTCCCCCTCCTCCTCCTAGGTCGTTGTTTGAGGGGTTCAGTGGCTTACCGACCGCTCCTGACGTACAACTGTACACCAGCGATTTTGCGCCCCACACCCGCAGGCTTCGGGGGCAGGGGGGACGGGGGGGCCCGCATGGCGAATCCGTGCGTCTAGGCGCATGAGGATCTGCTACTGGAGGCAGCGAGCCTAGAACGACTGGAGGATACCAGTGCCGAGCTACACAGCTGGGGCATCATCCTCCCCGGTGGCACATGCAAGTGGGCAGGGACAGAGGCAGTACAGAGGAACTACTTACCTCACCAAACAGTACTACAGTTCGGGGCCCGTAAAGGGAGTGGGTCAACAACAGTTGTGGGGTTACTATTCTAGTCAGTCAACGGATAGACGAACGTAACGTACGAGAAATCTTCTACCCACCCAGCTACCTCCAAGGTAGGGTTGCAGGGATTCGCCTCTCGAACCAGAAGTACGACTACGCATTGTTTGTCTTCTACTACGCCCTTACCCACGTACGCTACTTCGTCCTAGTAGCAGAGGCTATCACGAAATGGATAGAGCAACGTATCGACAGGGTAGGATGCCGCACGACAGTGGTGCTGGGCAGGGACGTCAACAGCGACTTCGGATGCCACCGCGACACCGACGGCACGATCGTGACCAGTAAGGGTGCGACGGTCGGGGGACTAGAGCCTAAGATCGAGAACCCGAACGGCACCAGTATCAGGACCTTGTGCCAGACCAGCGACCTTAGCATAGCCATTACGTACCACATCGCCGGGCCCACATTCTGCGTGCACTCGGGATACAATAGTAGAATAGGCCCTTCAGCTCGCCACCGATTGAGTTTCTTTACCACGCCGCGCGGGAGACCCAGTGGCGGCCACCATCGCGCCCGCCTCGCAAGATGCGGTCGTAGGCGCACGCGATCGGCAATGCGTTGCTCAACTTGTCCAGATCTTCGCCCGTCGTGCCCCTTTTGGCCCCCTCGTGGGTCTGCAGCTCTCAGGAATGGGAAAGAATGTGCTGCCAGTTTCGCAGAACCCAGTTCACAGACAAGCTGGCGCTCTCTCCTCGCGCCTTTCGAAACGCCGGCCCAGGTCATGGCGCTTGGTTTTTTAAGGATGATGCTAATAAGCTCCAGACTCGTGGAAGATGGCTGAGCCAGTCTTCAGTTCTGCGATTCTCCAAGCCTGCAGGTATGCCGCGCAATCGCACTTCCTATTCTCGGCAGCAGTTGCAGCGAGCTGCATCAATTCCGCAGCGGCTCCCGAAGCAGATCCTCGAACATTCCGGCCCACCCTGCCCTCGCTCCGCTCGGCTCCGGCCCGCGGTCAACCGCGCTAAACGGAAGTTGGGAAGTATGGGCGCGAGCAGGTAGGCTCGCGTTGAGCCTCCTTGCGCCACTCGGAGATGGTGACCCTCCCCTCCAGGAATCTGGGCTGCCGTGGGAAATGATAGAGTTGCAGGTTTTGCTTTCTTTGTTTTTTATGTTTTGGGCTCGCGCCCGCTGCCGCCCCCCGTTCTCTTGTCGGGGTTACAGCCGCTCTGCGGGGTAATTGCGGTTTGGGGTCGACGAGATTGGATCAGCATCGCTCCACGATCGTAGCCGCCCCGACGTCATTTTGGCTCATCCTCCTCCTCTCCTGCGTGTACTGTCTTAATTTTCGGAGCGCTTGGAAGCGCTTGGGAGCGCCTGGGAGCGTTTGGAAACGCTGGTGAGCGCCTGGGAGCGCCTGGGAGCGCCTGGGAAGGCCTAGGAGCGCTTGGGAGCGCCTGGGAGCGCTTGGAACGCTTGGGAGCGCTTGGGAGCGCTTGGGGGCGCCTGGGAACGCCTGGGAGCGCCTGGGAACGCATGGGAGCGCTTGGCAGCGCCTGGCCTCGACCACCTGCCCAGAACTGCGGCTGCTGCGCGTTGGATAGTCCAACGCGAGAGCCGCCTGCAAGACCTCCCCCCTTCCTCCGAAGGGGGGGCGAAGGGGGGGTAGCTGGGCCGATAGTTGATGCCCATAGAACGTAGCCGCGAGCGTGGAGCTTCCCCCCATGAGAAGGGGGGAGAGAGCGGGGCAGAACAACCCTAAACCCTAAAGGGATACTTTTGGGTGGTGATAGAGATGCAGGTCCTGCTTTCTTCGATGTTATTCCTTTGGCTTGCGCCCGCTGCCGCCCCCCGTCCTCTCGTCGGGGTTACATCCGCTCTGCGTGGTAAAGGCGGTTTGGGGCCGGCGCGATGTTCAGAATGCTCTAGATGACTGTTTTTTCCGATCAGGTCAACACTGCGAAAACACGTCGAAAACAGGACGATTCTCACGGACCCCGCGGAAAGAAATAACGAAAACATGACGATCCGAAGAAACCTGCGGAACGACCCGCGGGTAAAAAGCAGGACGTCTTGCGGAACAATCCGCCGAACCGCTTTTTGGCGGACAAGCCCGACTCGACGATGATGATACAGATGACGATGGTGATGATGATGCGGATGATGCGGATGATGATGATGATGATGATGATGGTGATGATGGTGATGATGGTGATGGTGATGGTGCTGCTGATGCCAGCGAGGATGGTGCAGACGATGACGATGTTGATGATGATCACGATGATAACGGTGATGATTATGGTGGTTGCGATGATCATGCTGTTGATATGATAGTGATGATGATGCCGACGACAACGATGATGACGATGATGATGATGATGATGATGATGATGGTCGTGATGACGGTGATGATCATGGGGGTGACGATGATGATGATGATGATGATGATGATGGTGGTGATGATGGTGACGATGATTTTGTTGACACTGCGGATGATATTGCTGATGATGGGGATGATGATGGTGGGGATGATGATGGCGGTGACTGGGTCGGTGGTGATCATGATGGTGATGCAGACAGCGATGCTGATGTCGAAGCTGAGGCGGATGGTTCTGGTGATGATTGTGTTGAGGACGGGAGATGAGCGGTTCCGTCCGCGGAAGCTGGGTGTAGCTCGGCGAAAATATCGCAGACACCCAGCGGATCAATTTCTGAGCGCTTCGCAAATCCGCAGCAGCTCATCCAGGAACGATCGCCAAGCAAGTCATCGGAATGTAGGAGCATCCAGCGGAACAGGGACGAAGGGTGCGACGATTACAACATGAACGAGACGATGGGGAGGATGAGGAGGACCGACTTAACCCAAAGACCCACCAACGACGTTGCAGCGCAAATATTGTGCGAACGCGCATTTTCTGGGACTGCAACGCCGCGAATCAACGTTATTGTTGCGTCCTGGCGATCCTGGGTCGTGCCAGAAAGCCGTTCCTGGGACTTCATCACCGCGAATCGACGTGATTGTTGCGCCCTGACAGTCCTACAGCGTACCAACACACCGTTTCTGGGACGTCAATCATCAGGACCATTGAAATTGCGGCAATATCTGAAGACGAATGTGCGCGGAGCTGTGGCGGGAACCCCATTTTGAAGAGGAACCGCCTTCCATCCGTGAAATTCCTGCGAACTTCGACAACGAATGTGCGCGGCGCAAAGGCGAGAGCGCCATTTTGAAAACGGCCCGCCTTCCAATACAAAAGACACCGTGGTACATTCTTGAGACTAATGTGTGCGGCGCTGAGGCGAGAGCAAGATGATAACCACATTTTGAAAACGACGCGCCATCAATCCGTGAACCTGCTTCACATTTCAAGCTTCAGGACCATAAATGGTGAGGATGTCTCAAGCGAAAGGCCGGCCAGCCCTACCGACGGGTCTCGGTGCGCGATTTTTAATGAGTTCTTCATAAGGAAAAGGAGCGGAGGATGAGGACGAGGACGAGTACGAGGACGAGGAGGAGGAGGAGGACAAGGACGACGAGAAGGAGGAGGAGGAAGAGGAGGAGGCGGAGGAGGAAGAGAAGGAGGATGATGAAGACGACGACGACGACGACGACGACGACGACGACGACGACGACGACGACGACGACGACGACGACGGCGGCCCATTCCGCTCAAGCGGGGGCGGCGCCGAGGGTTGGGCGCGGCGGCGCCGAAAGCGGCGCTGCCGCCAGCCGGGGCGGCGGCCCAGCCCTGCAAATGGAGGGCGACGCGGCCCCCAGCGGCGGCGGTGGCGGGGATCTCGGCGCGGGCCTCAGCGGTGGCGGGGACACCGCCGCGACCCCACGGGCTGGGGATCACGAGGGCGGTGCGGCCCGTGGCGGCTGCGGGGACATCAGCGCGGCCCCGTGGGCGGACGGTCGGCGCCAGATATGTACCGCCACTGCTCTCGGCCATGCCCAGCCCTGGGCCAAAGACGGGTGTGTGCACACCACCCTGGCAAGGCCAGGAAGGCGTACACCCGCCGGTCCCAGTCCCAGGACTGGCCTGGCCAGGAGCGGTGTTGGTGCGTAGGAGGCGTCCTTCAGGCGGAGTGCCCCGAGGGTGGCGCGTCCTCCGGCCAGATCGACGGCGACGGCGGAGGCGCCCGCTGCGGGACCTCGCAGCCAGCTTCAGCGGCAGGGCCCGCCCCCAGCGGCGCCTCCGCCGCTGCGGCGCCCTCGGCGGCCATCGGCGAGGCCATGCAGAAGGTCGTGCAGCTCACCAAGGCAGCTGTGTTCCTCCACACCAGGAGCGACGGCCACGAGGCTCGGTGCGCCTCCCTGCGCGAGGCGCACGAGGAGGAGCTGAAGCGGGTGGAGCTCGTGGCTGCGGCGCACGTCGGCGCGCAAGAGGCCCAGGCGGCTGCCGCCGCCTCCTGGCGCGAGGCGCGGAGGTCGGGCCTCGGGCGGGCGCACGCGGCGGCGGAGGAGCGGGCCAGGCGCGAGGTGCAGGGCCTGCGTGCCAGGGGCGAGGCGCTGGAGCAGGCGTCGGGTGTTCCAGAGGCGCCCCCTGTCTATGAGGTGCCTCCAGGATTCCCACGGCGGCCCCCGCGGCGTCCAGAGCACCCTTCGCGAGGCCCAGAGGGCCCCAGGGCCGCAGAGTGGAGCGACAAGCTGGGGGGAACCTTGGGCCAGGGGCACCTTCTAGCAGCCCCGCAGGCAGAGCGCGCGAGGCTCGCCCGGGAGGACGAGGCCCACGCGGCCGCCGCGGCCGACGCGCGGCGGCAGGCCGAGCGCCTGCTGCACGCGCTGGGCGCCGCGGAGGTGTCCGCCCGCAGCGACCGCCAGTGGGTCGCGAGGCAGATCGCCGGCCAGGCCGCCCGGACGCGGAGGGCGATGGACCGGGAGTTCGAGGACAGGGCTGGACCCAAACGGTGTTTGGGCGATCTCGCGGGCCGCCTTCGTTCCGACTTCCTTCTGCCGTAGGGGGGGACCGGGGACAAAACGAGGGAGAGCGAAAACAAAACACGAAGACGAAAAACACCGTTTCGGTTCAGCCCTGTTCGAGGAGGCCTGCGCGCGCCTCAGGAGCGAGCACACGGCGGAGGCGGAGGCCCTGCGGGCGGCCCGCGACGAGGCCGTGTGCGAGCAGAGGGCGCTGCTGGAGGCAGCGCGCGCCGAGGCGGGCGCGCAGGCGGGGGAGCAGCTGGCCGCCGCCGTGGCGCTGCAGGAGGCCGAGCTGCAGCAGGAGCGCTGCGGCCTGGAGGCCCGCGCCGAGGCGGCGGGGCAGGCGCTGGCCCTCGCCCGCGCGGAGGCGGGCGCCGCCAGGGCGGAGTGCGCGGAGTGCCAGCGGGCCCTCGACGGGATGTCGCGGGAGCTGCAGGAGCGGCGGCGGAGGGGCCACGCGCTCGCCGCGGAGGCCCGCGGGAGCAGGGCGGTGCCGGCAGAGTCCGCCCGCATGCAGTCGGCGCGCACACCGGCAGGTCGGCCCTGCAGAGCAGGGTTGCTCTTGTGTCCTGTCCGTCCCTTCTCGTGTCCCCTGCGTGTTCGGACCAAGGGTGCCCCTGTGTCCCCTGGCTGCTGGAGGCCACGTTGCCGTGGGAAGAGTCGTGCCCTGTTGCGTGGCCTCTCGTATGCGCTCCGACTGCAGCGAGGAGGAGCAACTCTCCAAGGTTACCCTGGCGCCCTCCCCATCCGGCCCGTCCCTGGCCGCTTTCGCTGGCCACGCCCCGTCCGCAGAGTGCTGGCGTGGCCTCTCAAGGCCCCATGCACTCTTGTCGCGCGTCCGTATTGTACGGGTCGGCTGCATCGCCGCTTCCCAGTCCTCTCCCTGGGGCGCGCTCGGGCCAGGGCTCCGAGGCCGATCCGGCCGTGGCGACGAGGGCCCGCCGGGGCGGCACGGGGGAGAGCAGGGCAACGGCATCGCCGTGCGCTCGCCTGGACCTCCCGGCCAGAGGCCTGGTCCAAGTCGGTCCCCAGACCCCTCCTCGGGGCCGTGCTGATTGGTTTTTAAGAGGAGGACGAGGAGGAGGAGGAGGAGGAGGAGGAGGAGGACGACGACGACGACGAGGAATCCAGGATCGATGCGCGACGGCCCCTGGGGCCGAAGAAGCGGCCCCTGGTCGCCGAGGTCGAGGGCGAGCTTCGGTCCTCGAGCCCCCGTAGAGGCCGACCAGGCCCACCACCGCAAGCTGAAGGCCGAGGCCCAGATCCGGGAGCTCCGGCGCCAGAGGGCCGCCGTGGAGCGCGTGATCGGCTCGGCGGGCAGCGTGCCGCGCACGGAGCGGGCGGTCGCCAGCATCTCGGAGGACGTGAAGGTGGCCAGCGCGGGCTTCGCAGGGGGGTTGTCGTCGCTCGTCGTCGTCGTCGTCGTCTTCGTCGCTCCTCGTCGTCGTCGCTCGTCGTCGCTCGTCGGTCGTCGCTCGTCGTCGCTCGTCGTCGTTCGTCGTCGGTCGTCGTCGTCCGTCGTCGTCGTCGTCGTCGTCGACGACGACGTCGTCGACGCGGGGACGTGGGGGAGGGGGAGCGGGAGGGAAGGACGTCGGCTGATCATTTTGCCGATCCTGGCTTGGCCAACTCCAGGCCCAGGATCGGTGCATGCGCCCCCCTAGCCTGGCCAGGGAGGCGCGCTTCCGCCACCAGTCCTGGGCCCAGGATGGGCCCGGTGGTCAGGCGGTGAGCTGACGCTCCCCGGTGAGAGGGGGGATGAGGGAGGAGGAGGAGGGCGGAGGGGCGGCGTAAAGGCGGCGCAGAGCAACCTGGAGGAGCTCCGCGGCAAGCTTGCTCGCGCCGAGCGCCTGAAGCAGGCTCGGGGGCAGCGCGAAGCGGAGGCTGGGGGACGACGTGGGAGGAGGAGGAGGAGGAGGAGGAGGAGGAGGAGGAGGAGGAGGAGGAGGAGGAGTAGGAGGACACGTGTTTTTTCCCACCCTCCTGTGGTTGGGCATTCAGCACTGCTGCTCCTCCCTCCTCCAGTGCGAGCCAGGAGTTCCTGACCCCTTCAGCCGCGGGCATCATCATCGAAGATGAGGCGGCACACTTTTTCTTCTTATAGATGTCTTCCGTTACGAGGCAGCGCAGCGCAGCCCCCCTGTGCCAGCACCCTCGCGACAGCGGCCCAACGAACGGGGCTTCACGAGTTCCATGGCACTCTGCGGCGGATCATTCTTTTTTACTATTGCAAGCTGGCTCCAGTTTGATTGGTCCTGATGCCGAGTAAAAATCATCATCATCGTCATCATCATCAGCAGCAGCATCATCATCATTATCATCATCATCACCATCATCATCATCATCACCATCATCATCATCATAACCGTCATCATCATCACCATCATCAGCACCATCATCATAACAGGTAATGACATATCCTACTGTAACACAGTATACTACATGACTCGATCAGCTAACATAACACGTTAGAACATTACACGCCCTACCACACCATGCCATACCATACCATACCAGACCATAAGAGCATGTCATAACATGCCATAACATCTGCGCGTGACTCTATGTGAGGAAGATGTGAGGAAGTTGGCGCGGTCGGAATAATCACAAGAACCCCGTCTTTACTGGACATGGGGAACATTACCACTTTAAACATCCAGCGTGCAAATCCAACGTGTAAATCCCATTACTTGTCCAACGTACAACTCCAACGTGGAAGCCAGCGCAACATATAAACGTAAGTCCATTGCGAACCCTTCTCACCAATCCTTTTTCCTTCCACTGATCAGTTATGTAAGCGAAGCGGCGCGGCAGCCAGCGTAAAAAGCTAACCTTACAAATCCAGCGTGGAAATCCATTGTAAAAGTTTAACGTGCAAGCCCAAAGTACGAGCCAACATGAACCACGATTCAGCTGTGCACTTACAGCTCACGGGCTCACGTGCACGTGCAGCTCATCGTCCTCCTCCGCCACCTCCTCCTCCTTTCACTTCCTGCTCCTGATAAATTATTTTTCCCTGTCGCACCCCGAGGCCAGTTTTTAGGGCGGTCCGGGCGTTTCGCTCGATAATTCCTCATTATTTATGACCCTGAAGCTTGAAAGGTGGCAACAGTTTCACAGATGGAGGGCGGGGCGTTTTCAAAATGTCGCTCTCGCCGTAGCGCCGCGCACATTGCTGTAAAACATTTACCAGGGATACACGGATTGATGGCGACTGATTTTCAAAATGTGGTTCTCGCCTTAGTGTCGCGCACATTCGTTTTTGAATGTTGCCAGAGCTTCACGGATTGAGGGTGGTTGCTTTTCAAAGTGTGGTTCTCGCCTTAGCGCCGCGCGCATTCGTTTTTCAATGCGCAAAAGTTTCACACGTTCCAATGATCAGCGTACCAGACATTGTGTTTTGGACGGATTCTGGATTTTGAGGGTGCAGCAGTTGCGTTGATTCGCGGTGTTGAAGTCCTAAGAATGGCGTTCTGGTACGACTCAGGGTCGTCAAGACGCAACAGTCAGGTTGATCCGTGGCGTTGAAATCCCGAGAACAATGCTTTGGCACGCTTCAGGGTCTTCAAACGGTTGTCTTCCAATGGTGCAGTTCCCTCAGTGGAAATGAACCGTTGCAGGGGCCTATGAAAAAAAGGAAGTTCGGATGGAGGGTTTACTCCAACATCGTTGATGACTCTTGGATTTACTCTGGTCCTCCTCCTCGTCATCAACATCATCATCATCTGCATTCTCGCTGGCTTCCTGCCACGGTACCCTGCTGGCGACCGGGGTTCCGCTCCTCCTGAGGGGGTTATTGGCGCCGTGTTTTTTTACATTTCGTCTTTGCCGCCGTCCTCCTCGTGGTACTTCAGACCCCGTGATCGGACCCATTCCCAGCGCGCCTGCGGGCCCCCATAGTGCTCCAGCTGGCTGATGATGTGGCCCATCTCCGCGTCGATCGGGAAACACATGGCATGGGTGTCTTCCTCGGCCTTTTGTGCTTCCCGTGCCTTCCTGGCCTCGTCTGCTTTCTTGGTCTCTGCCTTCCTAGCCCGTGACCCTCGTAGCTCAGCTCGTGGCTCTCGTAGCTCAGGCGGTGGCTCCCGCAGCTGAGCAGGTGGCGCTGGTAGCCCTGCTGGTGGCTCTCGAAGCTTTGCCCGCGGCCGCTCCGCGGGTGGCCCCCCGTCGTCGTAGCTGCCTCCGTCGCAGGTGCAGCCCATCTCGCCGACCAGGCCAGGCAGGGTCAGCGAGTCAGGAAGTTGGGCGGAGGTAAGCTCGTCGTCGTGCTCCCAGTAGCCAGCGTAATCGTAGGCGTGGGTGAGGTCGCACTCGTAAACGTGCGGCTCAGGGACGAGGGTAGAGGCGTCAGGGTTCAAGCTGAAGCGTCGGTATTCCTTCTTCTCCGCCAACTCCACCTCCTCCGCCCCCTCCACTTCCTCCTCCTTCTCTGGTTTGTCAGGTACCTTGGGCCAGCGTGCAGACGACGCCATAATGAAGACGTCCGTGGCGATGTTCAGGATGTGGCCGGGCTGCAGTTGTAGCCCGTGTCGGATGCAGTACCCCGCGTGCTTTCGAGCCGCATCTATTCGGGCAGATGTCCTGATGGTCGTGCTTGGTCTCGGCATGTTTGCTGGCATATCTCCACGTATTGTGTGAGATCTCGTAAGCTTTGGCTTCTAACCATCTCGAGGTATTCCACGTTGACTTGAATGATGTTCGCGTGGATGTAGATGTATATCACGCTGATCTTGGTGATGCTCCCGTAGATCGTAATGTATGTCATTTCGATCGTCAGGTATTTGGTGGCGGACGTATCGCACGGCGCGCCGTCCGCCGCGTAGCGGACAGCGCGCTCGGGCCGGCCCCCCCATCCCGCGGTTGGTGGGAAACACCCCCCCGCAGGGGCCAGATGGCCCTCCTCGTCTCCCTCCTCCTCATCCTCCCCCCCTAGGAGGAGGAGGAGGAGGAGGAGGAGGAGGAGGAGGAGGAGAAGACGAGGAGGGGGAGGGGGAGGGGGAGGGGGAGGGGGAGGATGAGGAGGAGGATGAGGAGGAGGAGGAGGAGGAACAGAGAAGGAGGAGCAGGAGGACTAGGAGGAGGAGGAGGAGGAGGAGGAGGAGGAGGAGGAGAAGGAAGAGGCGAGGAGGATGGGGTGGAGGAGGGGGAGGAGAAATTGGAAGAACAGTAAGAGGTGGAGGTTCGATGAGTGTCGAGGATTTGGGATGTCTTTGGGCCGTTCCGGGCCTCCGGGGAGCCTTCCGTGAGAGCGGCCGAATCCGCCCCGAAATGCTTGTCGCAGGGGAGGCTGGATCGGATCGGGCGACGACCACCAGAATGAGAGGGGGTGGAGGACGACGTCGAGGTCGGTTGAGGGACGGGCTCTAGTAGGGGAACAAAAAGTCACATAAACATAAAACTCGGAGGTCCGCGCGGATTTCTCGGATCGGCGCTGGGGCCCCCCAGCGGCGCCTCCGGCGCCGCCCCTGGCACGCTCCGCGCGCCAGGGAGGGGGGTCCAGCGCCGATCCGAGAAATCCGCGCGGACCTCAGAGTTTTTATGTTTATGTGAGTTTTTGTTCCCCTATCTAGGGGTATGCCCCATCCCGCGCTACTCTCCCACCTCTTCATCCTCTTTTCATCCAGGCCTCCCAAATCGGGCTAGAGCAGATGGGGCCGGAGGAGCGTGCCGCATCGCCGATGCATCGGTGATGCGGCGCGACCTTCTCCAACCCGCTGTCCCCGATGCATCGCCGATGCGGCACGATCCTCCAACCTATCTGGGCGATTTCGGAAACCCTGAACCCAAAATTGTTTTCCTCTCTTGGGGGCACATTTTTTACCTCCGCCGACCTTCCGCCGCCCTTCCGCCGCCTTCCGCCGAGGAATAGATGACAACACCTTCGATCCTCGACCGCAAGGCCCTTTTTGGAACGCCTCGTCTGTTGTGGCCCAATTTGGGAGGCCTCCACTTTACCCCCACTCCTGATCGTCCTCGGTCGGCGAGGTCTACAGAGGCCTTCACAGGACTTCAGGGCCCCACGGAGGCCTCCGGAGGCCCCAGAGACCCCCCAGAGGCCCAAGAAGAGACCCCAACCCCTGCAAATCTAGATCCCCGATCCTCCTCATCCTCCCCTTCGTTCTCCTGCCCCTCCTCGTCCCTCTCCCCCTCCTCCCCCTCCTCCCCCTCTCCTCCTCCTCCTCTTCCTCCTCCTCCTCCTCCTCCTCCTCCTCCTCCCCCTCCTCCCACTCCTTCCCCAGCCCCCTTACTCATGAGTAGCTCCTCCCTGTCACGCCACAAGACGTGTCCAACAGTTACACGGGCGGAGGTTGAATAGTTTTTTGTTCACGGGGCGCCCGTCTTGGGTCCACGCAGCTCGTTCTTTGGAGTGCGAATCGTTTTCAACATGGGGCGCAGCGCGATGTCTTAAAGCATTCCGGCAACATTCATGGATCGAGGACGGCTCCTTTTCAGAATAAGGCTGTCGCGCGAGATGCCCTTGACATGTGTTGCCACGATGCTGATGCTAACATTTTTCAAGGTCGACTCGGATGGATAGCGGCTCATGTTCTTCGAAGGAGGGCTCTCGCAAGAGACTTCGGTTAGGTCCCAACAGTGAGGAGCATTCGCTTGATCAACGCGTGCACGGATGGAGGGCGGCTTCTTTTCAAAGCGGGATTGACGTTGAGATGGTTCTTGAATTCTGTTGCTACAGATCGTCGCATTCCACAGGTTTGTCGAGGACTATCAATGGAGAGGAAGCATGTTGCCAAATAATTCCGAGGTGTCTAAAACATGTGTTAAACCTGTTTGAAGCATGTAAAAACATGTTCAGAACAATATTTTTTTAACACATTTTACGTTCAATGATAAGACTGTT